AATAGAGCACAGAGAGGGGTGGCGCTTCACATGGGAGTGAGGATTAAGGTTAATCAAGCACTAATCATTACCAAAATGCTGGGAAATGCAAAAATTCATATTGCGATTTGCACCCAAGTGGAGGGAAGAAGAAAAATTGAGAGTGAAGTGAGTAAAACTCACTCTCATGCATGGAAACTCAAACGGGAAAGTGGCGATTTACATAGGAGTGAGGATTAAGGCTAATCAAGCACTACTCGACACCAAAATGTTGGGAAATGCAATAAATCAAATTGCGATTTGCACCCAAGTGGAGAGAAGAAGAGAAATTGAGAGTGGAGTGAGTAGAACTCACTCTCATGCATGGAAACTCAAGGGGGAGAGTGGTGATTCACATGGGGGTGAGGATTAAGGCCAGTCAAGCACTACTCATCACCAAAATGCTGGAAAGTGCAAGAAATCAAATTGCGATTTGCACCCAAGTGGAGAGAAGAAGAAAAATTGAGAGTGGAGTGAGTAAAACTCACTCTTATGCATGGAAACTCAAGGGGGAAAGTGACGATTCACATGGGAGTGAAGATTAAAACTAATCAAACACTACTCATCACCCAAACATCAAGATGATCAAGAACTAAAGTTGCGATTTACATCCAAGTGAACGATTCGAGAGAAAGTGAGAGTTGGGTGAGTAGAACTCACTCAAATGCAATGACAAGGGGGCAAGTGGCGATTTACATGGGAGTGAGGATTAAATTTAATCAAACACTACTCATCACCAAAATGCTGGGAAATGCAAAAAATCAAATTGCAATTTGCACCCAAGTGGAGAGAAGAAGAGAAATTGAGAGTGGAGTGAGTAGAACTCACTCTCATGCATGGAAACTCAAGGGGGAAAGTGGCGATTTACATAGGAGTGAAGATCAAAGCAAATCTAGCACTAATCATCACCCAAACATAAAGATGATCAAAAATTAAAATTTYCAATTTTTATCCAAGTGAAAGATTGGAGARAAAGTGAGAGTTGGGTGAGTTMTACTCACCMAAATGCATGAAATGACAAGGGGGAAAGTGACGATTTACATAGGAGTAAAAATCAASGCAAATCTAACACAAATCATCACCCAAACATCAAGATGATCAAGAACTGAACTTGCGATTTACATCCAAGTGAACGGTTAGAGATAAAGTGATAGTTTGATGWGTARAACTCACCCAAATGYGTGAAATGACGAGAGGGAAAGTGRCGATTTACATAGGAGTGAAGATCAAGGCAAATCTAGCACTAGTCATCACCTAAACATCAAGATRATCAAGAACTAAAGTTGCGATTTACGTCCATGTGAAAGATTGRAGAGAAAGTGAGAGTTGGGTGAGTAGAAYTCACCCAAATRCATTAAATGACAAGGGGGAAAGTGACGATTTACMTAGGAGTGAARATCAAGGCAAATCTAACACTAATTATCACCCAAACATCAAGATGATCAAAAACTCAAGTTGCGATTTACATCKAAGTGGAAGATTGGAGAGAAAGTGGGAGTTCGGTGAGTAGAGCTCACCCAAATGCATGAAATGACAAGGGGGAAAGTGGCGATTTACATAGGAGTGAAGATCAAAGCAAATCTCGCATTAATCATCACCCAAACATCAAGGTGATCAAGAACTAAAATTGTGATTTACATCCAAGTGGAAGATTGAAGAGAAAGTGAGAATTGGGTGAGTAAAACTCACCCAAATGCATGTAATGACAAGGGGGAAACTAGCGATTTACGTAGGAGTGAAGATCACAACAAACCTAGCACTAATCATCACCCAAACATCAAGATGATCAATAACTAAAATTGCGATTTACATCCAAGTGGAAGATTGTAGAGAAAGTGAGAGTTGGGTGAGTAGAACTCACCAAAATGCATGTAATGACAAGGGGGATAGTGGCGATTTACGTAGGAGTGAAGATCAAGGCAAATCTAACACTAATCATCACTCAAACATCAAGATGAAGAAGGAGAAGAGAAAGAAGAAGAAGAAGAAGAAGAAGGAGAAGAAGGAGAGGAAGAGGAAGAAGAGGAAGAGGAAGAGGAGGAGGGAGAAGAAGGAGAGGAAGGACAAGAAGAAAAATGAGAGGAAAAAGAAAAAGAGGAGGGGGAAGAAGAAGAGGAAGAGGGAGAGGAAGAAGAGGAAAAGGAAGAAAAAGGGGAGGAAGAGGAGGAGGAAGAAGAAGGGGAAGAGGAAGAGGAGGAAGAAAGAAAAAAGAAAAAAAAAGGAGAAGAAAAAGGAGGAGGAAAACGAGTCCCTCCTCTCCACTCACCTTCTTGGTGTCTTGGGGTGGAGTACCAATCTTGATGAAGATCTTCCCCTCCTTGCTCAACCACCCCCTTGGCTATGGCTTCCTTCCCCTTCAAACCCTTCTCCTCCTTCCTCTCTCACTCCCTTCCAAGTTGCCACAAACTCCAACCACTATGGCTATGGAGTACTTCCCTCTAGGAGGGCTAATGGGGACTCCCTCTAACCTTTCTCTCTTCCTCACAGCCTGGGAGCTATGGCGGATCACCTTCCCTACTACCACTAGCCTATAGAGTCCTTCACACTAGCTCACAGTCTCCTCTCAACTCCCAAACTGGCACGGGTTCCCCTCACTTCACTCCTAGCGAGTGTGGTGCTCTTATGGGCACGTTTGGGCAGCATGGGCACTCCTCATGCAAATGGGAGTGTGGCGGACTAAACTCCCAGCTTATGTAGGCTGAAACCAGCAGTCCAGCCAGCCCATGGGCCTCCCTATGTGCCCCAAAGTGAACCGAGGTACCCCCATGACCAATTTTCACCACTAGGTCTCTCCGGGGGCACCTGGGCCTCATGTTGGTCAGGTACATGCAGTCCGAGTGGTTGGTACCAACTCGGACAGCCCCTTAGGCCTCTTTTCAGCCTCATGCGACTTGAAAAATGTTGCCCCCTTGAGTCCAAAGCCCAAGGGACAGCCTACTTGAAGGCCTTTTTCTCGACTTTTTTTTTGTGGGGGGCCTCCCTTGGGTAGGCCGGAGCATTTTTCCATGTGGCGACGCATTTTCAGCCTTGAATCAGACTGAGATCCAAGACCAGCATTATTTCGAGCTACCCGATGGTGGTCCTTGCTTCAAATTTGAGCCCCCAAGTTCAATTTTCCAATTTTTTGTGCATCTAGCTCTCTTTTTGAGCCAAATGCACAGTTTTGTCTTTTTTCTTTTTTTTCTTTCTTTCCATTTTGGGCTGCCACCTCACTCCGGAACTAACCATTTTGAGTTGGTCCACAAAAAAAGGTTGTTTCCTCTCCACCATTAGATCTGATCTCAGATCCATGGTCAAAAAGAAAACCGGTCATTTCTCCTTTGCATTTTCTCTCATTTTTGCTTTTTTAATTCAGATATTGTGGAGATATGGCCCCAATGGCCATATCTCAACAATCCGGCTTCCCTTCCCTCATTCTAGGTGAGATGAGGTGATCATTGGGACCTGCCAGTCCCTACTACAGCAGTCCCAATAGGCCGACACATCCTCCTCCACCTTTTTCTCCCGTTTTGTTTCATTCTCACTCCATTTCTCCCCATTTTTTTTTTCTTTTTCTTTTAATTTTGTTATGACAAGTATCAAATAGTTGTGCCCTCCCTTTGTAGGCCTTGGAACCTTATTCATGACCAGGTTCATGGCCGGTTGTTGGCCGTTACATTGTGGACTTCAAAAATTGCCCTCCATGCTCCTAGGGGGCTTCATTTTGCCGCCGTTTGTTCGATTTTGAGCCCTTTTGCTCCGATTTTTTATGGCAGCCTTTTTTCTTATGTTGGGCCTCTTGAAGCTCCATTTTCACATGCTTGGCTAGTATGAAATATCTCGGACTGCTGGGCAGCCCTCCCAACTCCCGTTTTTCTTTTCTTTTTACCGCTCGGCCTCCCGTTTGGGCCTCACCAGTGCTTGCACTAGTGGTGTTAATATTTCCCACCGTCAAGACCTTCGATCTTGACAGAGCCGTTGGCCTTACGCAACCACTCCCTACGTTGGCTTGTGGTTATTTCCTTGGTACACCTCAAGTCCCCGCCACTTCCCCGTACTAGTCCCTCGTTTTTTTTTTTTTGCCCCGTCGGCTGTGCTGCCGGCGCACGTCCCACTTTTCGACTTTTATTATTTGGGCCCACTTGGTCCCCGACAACATCCCGGACGACGTGCTATTTTTATTTTGGGACCCCCTTGCCCCCAACAATCCCGATACTTCTTCCTTGGGTACTGCGCGCATGCCGATTTCCATTGGCCGTGAGATCTCATCTTACGGTCACCATTTACCACCCCAACTTTTCCTATGCCTGCGGTACCATTTCTTAGCCTTTTGGACATGCCGCGACCCATTTCCCCTTGGCCTAGGCATCCTCATGCAGTCCGTTTATTTCTCGGACTGCATTCATGGTCATTCTCCTAGTCCCACAGCCCCACAACTTGCCCCATGCTAAAAGAAAATGAAGTGTTTGATTTTCACGTGCACCTAGGTTCAATATTGACTCCCGGTGCACCTAAAACATTTGTTTGGCATCCCCCATGCAATCCATTATTTTTCGGTTGCATGGGGCCTTGATTTTTCTTGATTTTTTCTGCAAAATCAGGAAAAACCCAAAGTACTTTATTACCGACATATGCCAGAATGAATCTGGTCACAAAAGTATCCCCTAGGTGACCGTTTTTGGCTATTAGTGCCCTTTTGACTTTTCCCCTTCTCTTTTCTTTTTCTTTTCTTTTTCTTTTCTTTTCTTTTCCTCCACTTGTGTACATTAGGGACTCATCAGTCCCTACTTGCTGCAGTCCCAACTGACGGCCGACTCACTCATCCTCTCTTTCTTCCTTTTTTTTTTTTTTTTTTTTTTTTTNTTTTTTTTTTTACATGTCAAGTGTCAAGTAGCCGTTAAGGCCCTTTTCTAGGCTCCTCCTCTTAGTTTTGACCCTTCTCATCCTCAAGGGGCAGTCCGTTATTTCTCGAACTATGCTTGTGGTCTTTCCATGTCATGGGAGCCTCCGTTTGCCTCTATCTGTTCCAAACGGTAGACCCCCATAGGCAGAGAAAGAAGTTAGATTAACTCAAATGATTAATAACAGGATAAAAGAGATGGATAGTAAGCGGGAGGAGGATAACAAGAAGATATGGGAGAGGTTGGGGAAGGGGAAAGAAGCGAAAAAGGTGGAGAGTGATAAGGCTACAACGAATGGAGAAAATAAGAAGCGGGGACAAGACGAGGTCGAGGGTGCTGCGACAGTGCCACCCTCGACACCAAGGCAAAAGGTCAACAAGAATAGAGCACTGGACGCGGGCCTGCTGCTGATGAACTTGGACACTGTGCAGTGGAACCAAACGATGCAGAGCCAGATGTTTGAGCGAGCGCAAGCACAACAGAATGTGATGTTCAAGCGCATGATGAGCATGATCGAGAAGATTGAATCAAAGCAGGTGATCCATCCTATGTCAGCAACTGCTCCAACTGCGCACAGTCAGCAGAATGGACCGGCACCACCTCCTGCTCAGACAACGGCTGCCAGGGCCACGGAAGAACCTGCAAACCGTCCTCCGAACATCCGTATCATTCCCCCGGTAGACCCTGTTCCTCTGTCCCGACGCTCTCCTTCCGAAAATGTTGGACCTTCACGTCCCGTTCGTCCTACCTCTCCACCTGTGGTCCAGCAGCAACCACCTCTTAGTCCTTCTCTGCCACACTCTTCACCCCCACCCCCTCCCCCTCCTGTTCACAGATCTGCGGGTGTAACTATTCGTGAACCAGTCGAGCAAGTAGGCAATCGGCCAGTCACTCGTAGTACGGCCGCTACACCAGGTAATCAAGGGCATAACGAGTCGGGCCCTTCAAGAGAGCAGAACATCCGGACCCTGGAGGAAGGGAGGTCGACCGGTAGGTTGGCTGATGTCTTTGCCTCCGTGGCTGGGACTGCAGAACGAGTCATAGGGTCCCTCTCAGCGGTCATATTGGGTACTTCATCGGGGTTGGGGTTTGACTGGGTACGGGAAGGAAGGAAGGCGGTGGTGGTGCAACCAGGCCCTGGTGGGAGAAGGCAGTATCGTGCAGATATGGAAAGAGAGCTTACAGCAAAATACAAAAACGAGCTGGTGGAGCTATATAAGAAGGATAAGATCAAGTACCACAACAAGAAGCAGGYTGTGGATGATTTAACCGATATTCGTGTACGAGACKCGTATRGTGACAACASGGAGGAAGAGGCCGAGGAGGAGCACGTTSAAGAAACAACAGAGGAAACTCAAGACGAGAATCCTTCTTGAAGTCCTATCAAGACCCCGAGTGGCTATRGCAGCAGGTGCATGAGGTGCAGGCCGCGCGTCTCATGAGGAAAGATAAGGGATGCAAAAGAAGATGGTTGGAACAAAAGATACGACTGTTCGTGTTGCTCCTTGGTTCTGGCTGGCCAAGTACGGTGGGGTACGAAGTTTCTTGACCAGTGGATTGCGTCGATAGAAGGAGGATATGATATTTGTGAGGAAAAGGGGTGTTGTATGTATGTCCTTATTTCGCCYTGGTACAAGGCGACGTACATTGGATCAAYGTGTAGGGGAGTTTTGGAGAGATGGGAGGAGCATGCTACTTTTGGTAGTCAGGCCAAATCTAGGAGAAACCATAAGCYGAGGASGTGGTTGACGGTCAAAGGGTGGGAGAGCTATRTAGCTATTYCGCTGCTAACCACCACGATCGACGAACTGAGAAATGTGGARCACTCTTACATTGCTAGATGGACGCCGGTTCTCAACACACAGAGAAAAAAACGAAGGTGTGGGAATAAGAGGAAGGGGAGAAGGGAACGCAAGGCTTATCTTAGGAACAGGATTTCGAWGCCCAGCGTTTCTGATAAGAGTCTCCTATCCTGGGAAATATCCCCCGGTAGTGCACTTCTCCCCCCTACTCCAGTTAAAACCTTCTCTTTGGTCCGCGCTCTAAGTAATGTTATTTCCTCAAAGTGTTTTTTTGCCACTGTTAGAACTACTGGAGGGGGTTTCTTCTTTGATAGATGGGGACGCCTGAGAAAGCTACTTGGGTGGTCAATAATGGAATGGGATGGCCAAATGATTTTTTTGAAGGATGCTAAGCACCGTCTGTCCTAATCTCACTCTTACAGTTGCCCTCATCCAGGAAGATGCTATACGATTTTGAAATTGGTGCACTTATTAAACTCTATAACTGCACCGAGTCTTTTGGCAATGGGAGAACCAGAGCCATCTTGAAGGGAATCGTTGGGCGCGTACTAAAGAAGAAATGTGGATTCAAATGTCTAACTACTATAATAATTAAAGCAGTTTTTTCTCATTTAATTGTGAAACAGAAATGTATCCGGGTGGTAAGGAGAGAAGTCGGGAGACGGTGTCAGCCGCAATATGTAGTTGAGTTCATGATCTCGCGCTTATGTTTTGTGTGGAAGAGCACGAGGACGATTGGGGATCATCCACATAACCATAGGTACATGGCTAAGGGAGTGGATTTTGAATGTGTCTGTGCTTCACAAGACTCTACCCTGCCTAGGAATAATGACGGCCATGTCTGCTTTCGTTTTTCTAATTTTGTTGAACTGCCTAGCGTTCTAAGTAACTCAAGGAATGCATTACCACCAGTAAAGGAAGTTACTAAAGGCTCCATTAAAAGGATTCTGGAACGCAGCTTGGAGAGTTGCCCAGGGGCACCCTCAATTCGGAATCAGGAACTGTTAAGCTGCTTGAGGGAATGTGGTTGAGAGGTTAGTTCCAGAACTGAACTATTAATGGACTGGAAAGGAAAATTGGGTCGTTTGGTGGCTTGCCCTATAGTCCACAATATCGACAATACGTTTGTGTGTTGCAGAGCTATCTACTCTCAGGCTCTGGCTAAGCTGTTTTGGGAAAACTCGGGATTTGAGGTGGTTGATTCCAGTCAAAATGAAGTTTTGTGCGAATGTAGTAAAGAATATGGAGCCATAAATGCCACCAAGATTGCCCTATGGGATGGCAAGGGCGTACTTGGTAATTGTTATGGTATTCCAAAACATAAGGATATTTCCAGGTGGCGACCAATTTCACCATCGTTCGCTGAACCTGGGGTTAAGGCGTGCAAAATAGTGGCGAGAGCTATTAATTTCCTATTGTGGAGCCTCTTATCCAAATCTCATTTCAACTTGAAGTCTACCAATCTTCTCAAACCACGAATCATGGGGATTGATAAACGAGTTGCTAAATGGTCGGATGGTTGTTTGTTAGCTGCAAGCTTCGACACTAAAGAAACGTTTACTAGGCTTCCGCACAAGTCAATTTTAGAAGCCGTGAATTGGGTGTGTGACTGGGCAGTGGGCGAAGGATACAAATGTGTGCGGATCAACATGTTTGGTAAAGGGGCAAGCTTCTCTAAAAGCTTTGGTGAAGGCGGTTAGGTAACCCTCAAGTTTTCTGCTATCACGCAATTTGTTGAGTTTGACCCTCGACACACGTATGCATGCGTTGCTAGGAGAATCATCAAGCAAGTCGTCGGTATCCCGATGGGAAAAAACTCGAGTCTGTCACTAACATGTTTGTTGTGTTCGTTCAATGAGTTTACTTTTTTAAAGCCTCTTGGAGCAGATGTGAGGTACATATCAGGTCTCAGATTGGTAGATGATGTTAGCATCTTCGTTYTGTTACCCAAAAGTGATGATGCCTCAAGARGCAAGGGGGCCAGTTTGATAGATGAATTCCTCCATGCCTATGACCCMAMCYTT